CGGAGAATAAAAATGTTGGAGGTTAGCTCAACTTTATGATAAACTACTTGAAAAACATCACGGAGAAATAAAAATAGTTAGGAGGTTAGCTCAACTTTATGATAAACTACTTGAAAAACATCACGGAGAAATAAAAATGTTGGAGGTTAACTCAACTTTATGATAAACTACTTGAAAAACACAATGGAGAAATAAAAATGTTGGAGGTTAGCTCAACTTTAGGATAAACTACTTAAAAAACATAATGGAGAAATACTCTGAGCATTTTCACCATCTTAAGAAATAGGGGCACGTGTATTTTACATAAAAAAATACAACATTAGGTGCTTAAACAAACTCACGTAAATGTTAAAAACGCAAAACATTAACATGATTTAAACGTTACACTTAAGCATTTGAACACCCTTTTCGATATGTGCTGATTTACCTTTCGGGTAGCAACTGTAAATAACAAAGAAGAATAACCATAAAATGTGTCACATAAAGTTAAAATAAAGTGAAAAGCAATGTTTATTTATTCAAAACAAAATGTGTCACATAAAGTTAAAATAAAGTGAAAAACAATGTTTATTTATTCAAAACAAATAAAAGAAAACAAGTGCACTGGGCAATAGATGTTGCTTCCACTGGAGATCTCGGGATATATCTCTATCCTTATTTTTCTATATCCAGACTGAAAGAATGTGACATTCACAAAAACAGTTACATCATCCCCTCAGTGTGTAAGCGATACCCCCACGTCATTGGTTTTCCCAAGTGAAATGAAGGAGGACGTAGCGTCTAGACATTTCTAAACAATAATGTTGCTATAGAAAGTAGATACAAGGTTTAAACTAGTTTCTCAACAACATCCCTTACGAAAAAGCCCAAAATTATCCAAGTGGGACACAAGTCTTGACCGTGTTCAAGTTCATCCTTCTAAACCAAGAGAGAACTAAAATATAATACTTTTCTAAATACCATACCCTAACTTTCTTTGTTTTCAATGAGACATTGGCCATTACTAACTTTAATTCTTAAATATAATAGAATATATATTAAACAAGAGGGAATCCTCAATAGCCGCGGCTGTAATTAGATCTCAAATCGATCAGAAGATGGAGCTATGAGCTAAAAGTGTGTATTTGAAAAAAAAAATTCGGAGCTATTTTATGAGTCGCTTTGCTGCGGTTAAAAACTACAGATAAGCTAACATACTTATACAGTACATATACATAAGACAGGCAAGTAAAACCCTTTAATAAAGAAATAATTTAACAAAGATATATTTCTTGGCAATGATAATATTACCGTTACAAATACAATAATACAATCAAATGCAAGACCTATTAAAGAAAATCATTTGAGAACAAATTAAAGAAAAAGTAGTATATAGTTTTTTTCCACAACCTACAAGATTTTATTATACAATTTTATATTCTTTTAAGTCTTTTAAACAGATAAGCCTTTCATATGTATTTTCCATTTTTAACACATATCTTTTATATTTTAAAATATTATGTATCCTTACATCTGATATTTGTTTGCCTCTCTGCTTGAAAAACGTTTTGCAGGTCTAAGTTTACATATATATATCTACAGGGTTGGTATCTTATATTAAAACGGTTTTGATTATACAAACCATCAAGCAATTTGACGAATACAGTCGATATAAAGTCATGGTGGAACTGCATTTTGTTATTGTTTGATGTTACATAGGTGATGTGATGGCAACAAAACATTTTTCACTTTTGGGGAGGGTATGTAACAGCCTTTTCAATGCAAAATATTCATACACTCGGATGATAAAGAGGTGTTCAGATAGAGGATTTAGAATTTCCTAGATGGGTAATATCCCTTGTACTTAACGGCATTGGAAAACAAAAGAATATGGATCAATCTGGACAAGAGAACCATCCAGAAAATACGTGTAACAAATTATAAGCCAGCTACAGTAGGTAAAGTGTGGCATTTTATTAGAAATGAGAGGCCATCAACATAAAATTCAGTGGCAGAAGCAGTCCATGTGCCCCAGGAAACAGTACACAACATAATCAAGTGAGATCTCCATATGAAAATGAGGCCAACAGGGTATGGGTTCACCATGAGAAGGCTTCTAGTTATATTTCCTGTTCAACTGCTGTATACTTCAAGCAATTAGAAATGGAAATGGCATCAATGTTATTCCACACGAAGACATACCAGTCAAATTGCCAGACATAGTGCCTATTACTTTTTTGCAATCCGAATGTTGAAATGGGCACTGGGAAATCATCATTTTCTTACACTAAATGAATTATGGAAAGATGCAGGAAGTAGTAATGTGCTTTTAACATGACATCCTTATTTCAATGGAAACTATACTGCAGGGCTTTTGTCAAGATGCACGGCCATCAGATAGAGCCTTATCAAATGTAACGACATGAACTTTAATTGATAACTCATAAGGATACAAAATCGATTTAATATAATATACTCAGCCCTCTGTTTAAACAAATCTACCTCTGACAAAATAAATCATTTTGTTAATAATAAACATTTATAAAGCTAAAGTTAAATATCCCACCTGTCCTGGTAGTTAGGTTACTTGAGTTGCAATCTGCAGGACACGAGAATGAAACCTCGTCAAACATGCTCACTCTCTCAGCCGTGAGGTCATTATAATGTGATGGTCAATCCCAGTATTCACTAGTAAAGAGTAGTACAATTGTTGGTGGTGAGTGGTGTTGGCTAGTTCATATCCTTTAGTCTGTCATTTCAAAATAAGGTACAAGCAGTACAACTTTGTGCGAAAATTTAATCAACAAATGTCATATCTTTCTAACGTAATAAAACACTTTAGTTTAACAATATACTAATAAAGATTTCTGTTTATTGCTAGATAGTGAAGGGAAATGTCATATATTTTACGAAACACTAAAATTATGATTAAAGAACAATAAAAACCACTTTCAGTGATGAAAAATAAAGGGAATGATATATATATATATATATATTTATTATTTTATGAAGCATTTACACACTGTTGATTGAAAAACATTAATAACTACTTTTGGTTATTAAACAATGAAAGGCAATGTTATATATTCTACACCAAAAATGTAAACACACATGATTAATGACTGTTGGACAGAGGTAGAAATGTTGAAATAAACTACAAAGACAAAAAAAATTGCCATTCATCGTTACTGTAATATTGACAGTAAATTCTTAAGAGTTGCAGTGAATTTCTTGTTGGGAGTGGTATCTGACAGATTATCTCCTTTACATAGGCGAGTGCTATTTGTTCTAATTCCATCTGGAGCTAGCAGATCTCCTGATCTGTTCCAGAGGTGTTTTTTTCTTTACAACAATAGTTCAGGTCTTCTCCCACTGGCACAAGGCCCAGGTTTCTATCTATGTAACTGTCTAAGCTTGGCAGTGCCATTTGAGAATTATCATCTTGTAAATAGTATGATACAGCTTTTTGGGATTTCTTTTGGAACGATGAGTGAGAATTCCATGATGGATGGTTGAGGCTGCAACTGAACTCAGTTAGATGGTGGTTTTGTGGCCATTGATATAAAAACCCTGATTTTAACATCTGTTAAGAGCGATTAATTGCTTTGGTGCTAGTGGTTGTGTTGGTGGTGTCACAGATGCTAGAACTGACTAAGTCGGATCTTCCCCACATTTAGAATGCTTTTGACTGGGTTGTAGCTCTGAAAAAGCCTTTTAGAGGTTCAGGATGTTGTAGTCCCAATGAAGATGAATAGACAAATGGTGTCATCAGTGTTTTGTGATCTTACATCATTTAACGGGACAATTCATGTCTCTATGGCAATGAACCCTAGTAGCCAAGAGTTTAGAGTTCACCGATGAATTTGTTACCTTTGATGTTAGCAGCTCCGATGATTGGTAAGTTGCATGAAGGCTGGGTTCCATTGGTAATTCTGTAGGTGAACTCAGCTCCTGAAGGGCAGTTGAACTTTTGTATCGCTCTAGAACAGAGGTATATGTGGAGTCAATGGCATTCGTAGCTTTCACCAGAGCTTGTATATCTGAACAGTTATTTAACAACTCATTGTCATTCATAGACTCTGCATCAAATGAACCAAACACTAAGTCGGCAATTGGAGTCTTGGGAATCACTGGGTAATTCTCCACGTCTCGTAAGTCATAGAAAAGAAAGCTTTCAGTTTTATCTCCTTTCATGCTGATAGTGAGAATAATGCAGTAAAAAGGAAAATGAATATTATACCTTAATTGGATGGTTAAATAAATAAGATAGCCAGAAGGGTTAAAGATTTGATCTATTTAAAAAGTTGGTATTGAAGATGTGTGATTCTGATTTGTCAACAGTTGAGCTAGAAACATAGTTTTCAAAGTTGTAATGGTTCAGTTACAACTACTATTTGTTCTGAAAGCAAGCTTTAGATACAGTGTGGTAAAACAATTCTTCTGATCGAGTTTCATTTCTACAGGAATACATCTACTCACGTTTACATTGCTTATAATAAATGTATCACGTGTGCCTTGGAATGTCCCAGTCCACCAAGCTCCATTGGGATCCCTAACTTTATCAGTATTCAGGTTTGCTGCCCACTGTTGCAACCTTTCTCATACATGAGAGATTTCACCGATTGTCTGTTTGTTACAATAACAGAGACTGTATCTAATGGAGAAGGGAGGGGGTAAAACCCCGTAAGCGCTAGTTCCTACACAAGTAACTGAAATGGGCCAGCTGTATTAGTTTCAACCTCTAGATTTTGACCATAGGATCCTATCAACGTAGACAGCTCAGTTCTATCAGACTTCTATTCAGACACGAATTTAAGTGACTTCAAAGCAATACCCTGTGGGTGTTACTTTCTGCTTCAAGCTACCCTATAATGTACTTTAACTACACCTTTCACTAAAACAAATGTTAAGGAATTATTCAGCAAAACTGCATGCTTACAAAATATTTCAATCAGTACAGTTGAAAATACTAAACCATAAACAAATAAAACACTGGGTACATAAGCTACATTTTAGTCTTTGAAGTATATTTTTGCAAAGTGATTCGTTCTACTTAAGATTTAAAATTTGGATTATGTTTCTCAATGGCACAAGAAAGCAAATTGTTTAGAATTACTTTAAAATATAGACATTTAATGTTCTTACTATCAAGACTACTTTTATATGGCTTGGCTACAAAGGAGGACTAGCAAAATCAATGACCAAAAGTCGATATTATAAGACAGTAACAAAGTGTTCATTCAGAAGGACCTTCATAACTCCAAATACATCCCTATATCAAAATCAATTTACTTTAGAAATTTTAGAATATGCAACAAGAATAAAAAAAACTATTTACGTAAAACTACCTAAATAGTCGAAATTCATATCTTATATTATATTCAAAGACTCTATCGTTTGGCCTCATTATGTTCATAAAGGTTTCCCTGTATTTCGACTCCTGCTCAAATTCTGTTGTTTAAATATTTTATGTATTTATGTTGAAAACTAGTTTGAATACTGAAACATGTGGATTTCGTATTATGGCAAATTCAGATGGAATTTCGTCTTTTGTTTTACTTTTTTCAGTAGTATATGTCTTTTTTTTTCTATAGAGTTATAATTTACATGAAACTGCCTTATAAATAAAGTGGTCAAACATGCAAAAATGACTTTGTAGAATTATCATATTTCTATATGCAAAAAAATGTTTTTTATTCACAACAGCATTTTCGCTGGACAAAATGTAATCGTCTGCTATTTTGTTCCTATTGACCTCAAATTGCTGTCAAAAATGATTTTTTTCTATGTATTTTAATGCGATACAACTTGAATGGTCACTCTGATAGTTTTGATCACAGATCTTGTTATTGTAAAAATCCATGTATCTTTCTAGTCTTTGGTTTTATTTTAAAGTCCACTCTTGACCTCTTATAACTTTCATTTTAGGAATGCCATACCTTTTTTGTTGTTGCCAATTTAAATTTTTCCTGTCTCATCTTTGGTTTATTGGAACTTATTGACAAGGTAGACTATCTTGTCAAGATTGCTGTCCTGCCATTCACATAAGACAATTGAGCAATCATCCATCTTGCTGATCTTTGATTGATGTAGTTAGAAACATTGATTCTGTAAGCATCTTTTTTATTTTTAAAGTCAGTCTTGTTGAAACAATCAAGAAGACAGTCATGGTTTGTGTAGTCAACATTAAGTTTTATTTGAATTCGAACTGCTTAAATATTAACACACAATATTGAGCATTGGAACATCTGTGTAAAGTCTCTGGCAGAACTCAGCGCATAAATGTTTGTCTAATTTACGTCCTTATTACCTGGAGCGTTACTGTATTTCGTTTATCCGTACAAGTTAAGGCACGTCATTACCATTATCCAGGTTTTTATTTATCAAATACTCATGTACTAGTCATATCCTTTTGTTCCGCTTGTCACTTTTTTAAATCTTATTTTTTCATTCTTTCATTTATAGCGAAGACATAGAGACCTAAATAATGATAGAAAAATAAAAGACTACTTTTGATATACATAATTTTGTGTCTGTAAATAAGAGGACGCTTTACTGTTGTACTTATAAAAACAAAAACAAAAGAAGAAATCAAATAAAATGGAGCAAAAGCGAAATGTCATAAAAATAGAAACTATATATCCCTAGTTAACATTAGAAAAAAGTGTATTAGAATTACTGAAATAACAACTTAGTTGTTATTTGAAACGTTTCATTTGAGTGTGTGTGTCGTTAAGTGTATAAAAGAAACAGTATGCACATATTCATTGGGTGACTAACACAATTTACATCAGTTATCAAATCTCTACTTCAAAACTAGTCTTAACAGTAAAAGATAAAACTGAATGAGCAAAATTATATCATTATTGTTTGTGAGATTCAACTTAACTCCTAACCTAAGTAGCGTCTTTCGGGTTTCGATCAGAAAGAACCTTGACATATTTAGTTGTGATACTCAACCCGAGTCTTTAACATACGTAGTTATTCGTGAAACTCAACCTCATTTATTAGATATGTAGTTGAGTTTCATCGCGAATCTTACCACATAATATTTTGTGTAATTAAATCTGATTCCTATCATGCACAATTGTTTGTTGTATGCAAATTTCGGCGCTTAAAATATGTAATAGTGTAAAAACATCATTTTTTTTTTTTTTATCATAGTCCTAGCGGACCGTTGAACCGATGGCAGAGCAAGATCTGCCATCGTTTCTAAAGCTGTTTCTTACGTCAAGGATGCAACCCACTTGACAGCCTTCCCTCTTAACGTGAAAGGGCGAGCATGTTTGGTGTGACAGGGATTCGAACCCGCGACCCTCAGATTGCGAGTCGAGTGCCTTAACCACCAGGCCATGCTGGCCAAAAACATTATACATAACATTAATCAGAAAAGATTATTTTCTACTAGTAACAAAGTATGCTATTTTTTCCAGACGAAGGTTTAAAAAGTATGCACTTTTCCAGACGAAAATTTAAAAAAGTATGCACTTTTAAGTCGTTCCATATTTGTAGTGAAAGTGTTTAAAGTTATATGAAACAAACAAAATAAACAGGAGATTCATAGAAAAGAATACTTGTACTTTCACGTAAAGAGGTGTGAGCAGTCTCTTCACAGTATGATTTAGTTCTCTGTGTTTAGCTTGAAAGCTGTTTCATTTGATGAGTTCGATTGTGCGCTTTGAAGAATG